AGTTATTGAATGAGATAGTATGATGGTTTATAATCCCATTCCATATGTAAGGAGGAAGAATGTTAATGAGAATCTGAGAATATTTGATGAGATTTTTTTTGTGAGGAATCAGCCATTCTGTGTAGATCAAATATTTCTATGTTTAAAATTTCTGTTTTTAATCTGTGCAGTACTCTGTTTAATTTACGTAAAGACTTATTAGTGACACGCATTAAATCTATCGTTACAAAAATGTTTCAAATGTTTCGGGAATAGCTTGTGATATTTACATTGTTTTAGAAACCGCAACTTGGAAAACGTTCTTATTAAAATATAATTATCATCTAACCAACGTCTCACATAATTAATCGTATGTACGCTGTTTGAAAACCTTATGTCTTCGGGATACCGAATCCAATATTCATACAAATGATAGCTCCTTTAATATACAATCAATTTATTTTTCAAGTTAAACCCCAATGATTTATTTAAACAATATTGAAATTATATTTAATACTACATATCAAGTTTGACAATCAACGAATCTTATATTTAAATAAGAACTAGTATGCAATATGAGATTCTCACATTTGAACAAGAACCAAATGTTCAAAATTACATAAAGTTGAATATACAATATAAAATGATAATAGTAATAACAAGTAGACTGTATAAAATAGACGGGAAGAAAATCCTTTGATTTTCTTTATATATGTAATCAACCCTGTTCGTGAATTAAGCACATGAAAAGTTTATCGGTATTTAATTAATAAATTCAATCAACATCTGAATAAAAAAGATAAATCTCTTTACATGACAACATAAGCTCTTTGAATAATAACACAAACTAAATACTAGAAATACAACATGAGCATACAATGACAATTATAACATGAGCATATAAGGACAATTATAACATAAGCATATAACAACATAAAACAAATACGTTCGTACATAAAGACATTACATGACTGAGCAAAAGGAGATTCTTCAAAATGAAATCGTATAATATATGGTAACTTTAAAGTGGACTGTATGAAAGTAAGTTAAAAAATAATCCTTATGACACTGACAGGTAAAATAAATGTGCATAGATGAAAAGAATAAGTATTATCCGAACAGAATTGAGTATGCAAACAATACAATATATATATAGTCAATTCACAAATGAACATAAACAGGTGATATACATAAACGATACCATCAAATACAAAGAAATAATATGCTTAATCATAACACCACTGATGTTGAATAAATGAATAAATACAATAAGAATATAACTGAACATAGATGAGGTAATATAACTTAAAATCTTATATAATGTTACTAAATAATTTATGTATCACCATAAGCGTTTAATATAGTGACAAACATAATGAAAATACAACTAAAATATCATAAAATCATATATAAAATTGCAATGAAAAGAAAGGCTAAAATTATGTACTTAAGTGACAAATATCTTGTTATCAAATATTAATTGTTATATCTCTAAGAGATATAACTATTAATGTATAATTACTCGTATTACATCCGCTTGACGACGGACACTGACCGCGTAAAAACGCATACGCTGCGAGATATACATGGAACCAAAATTGCTCAACGTGCAAGCAAAGCAGAAGGACTTTGAATCTGCTTCGCTTGCATCTAGGTTTCTTGACCGAGGAGGCCCATTGCCAGGCACCCCTTCCGATTAAGGAAATTCCAAAAAGCGATATTATAAAAAGGGAGCAAGAGTCGCAGTCGTGATCAGTCGCTCTCAAGACGCTCTCGCGTCGTTAATTAAAACGACCTCGCTAGCCGCGTGCGATCTTAACATCTTCTCGCAGTCGCGCGCAATACGCAAAGTTATAGTTGAATAGTGCCGTTAAATAGATATACGCACAAGTGTATCATTATTGAAATAAAGGAAAGTCAAGTGGTAATGTGAATAAAAGTTCTTTAATAAGTAAAAAGGTGAAGTGCATTTATTAAATCAACCCGATATAAGCCCTGACGCCCCGGATCCTCATCCCAATTTGGCGCGACCCCTTGTGCCTTTCACAAGGCACACAACATATTATATGGTTGAGAGTTGTGTTATGATTAAGACGGACAGTAACATAATGTATTGGAAATCACATGTTGTTCAAAACGCATCAGAAAATATTATCAGTATAATAAAATATTATATTCGAACAGAATACTTTAGAAGATTCTAGACCAATCGATATTTTCAGCAAATCGTTTTTGTATGTTTTTCGAGGAGAAAACACCGCGACATAAATCAATCTGTTTCGGAAAAAACCTCTCAAAACATCAACAATTAACGGTACCACAACCGTTCTGCCGAATAATTATTTTCAGTAAGCATGCGCGGCTTATCACGGGCGCCTCTTTTCACCAATAATTATCGCGATCGCCCGCTCGCACATGCTTTCTGCCAGCCGTCGTCCCGTTAATTTTGACAGCGGCCAATTACGCGTAATGCGCTCAGGTCACCTCGCGCAACGTTTGAAATCCGCAAAACTATTGGCGCTTCACGCGAAGGTGGGCTCCATCCTACAAATTATAAAAGAAGAGCTCACACCCGGCTTAGCAGCCTTATCGCTTTTCCGCCGTGAACCGCATAACGCAAACCGCATACTTGTAAAACCGCTAAAAATTCGTTGACGACCGCCGCTTATTCCGCACTTTGATTTTTGATTACGATTTCAATGTAAAATAATTAACATTTGTAAGAAGTTTGTTAAAGTGTATTTGTCATTAAGTGTGTTAGAGAATTAAATTCTTTTGATAGAAAAGTGACTCATCCTTTGTGCCGCGCGACCCTTACGCAGCGCGTTCGCGAACATATTTCTGGTCCTTCGAGCCGGATACCTCACACCGGCAACCGCAAGTTCGCGAGCGTGACTCTTCGGGTGAGTGAAGAAAGTGAGCATCTGTGTGTGCAGCCATCATGGATGTACTCACGCTGGTCGACTGTCAGCGTGAGATTCAAATCCGCATCTCACGTTTCGTGGAGTATTTGAAGAAGCTGGGCAGTTTCAATATCACTACCAGTGCTATCGCCACACGCACCAGAATTTTTGGATCAGCTGTGGACGAAGTTCAAAGCGCAGCACGATCTTATCCGAGCGGCCTTAAAAGAAAAGTTCAGCGAGAGCGATTATTTTAAGTCAGAATTGCACGCTGATACAGAGAATCTGTACGTTAATCAAAGAAGCATACTTGACGGCTACGCTGAACACTTTCGTGCATCGAGCGTACCTCCTTCTGCCGACGCCACGCCAAGGTCGTCACTGCCGCGCATCAAAGTACCGCCATTCTCTGGTGCCTACGCAGATTGGCCGTCGTTCAGGGATCTCTTCCTCTCCGTCGTGAGTGGTAATGCGATCTCCAACATCGAGCGCTTTCATCACCTCCGCTCATGCTTGACAGGGCCGGCTGAAAAATTAATCAAGTCGTTACCTGTCACCAGTGACAATTATGATCGCGCTTGGGCGATCCTGGACAAACATTATAACAATAAAAAGGAATTGATCCGCTCCAACTTTGCCACATTCATCGCCGTGCCGAAGATGAAGGGAGATACCGCAGAGGAGTTGAGACGCATTCACAACGCCGTTACTGCCGCCGTCAATGGTTAGGAGAGCATTGGACGTCCAATTAACACCCACGGAATGGACCTCTTCAACTTCCTAGTCACCGAATTGTTTGACGCACGCACGCGTCTGGAATGGGAGTCGTCCACGTCAGACTCATCAGAGCCGGCACAAAACGAGGCACTCGTTGACTTTATCAGCCGACGGATCCTGACGCTCAATGCCGCACGACCGAAGAGCATCAGCAAACCGTCCGGAGAGGCTTCACGGATCGCCAAGACTCACGTCACTAAGCACCAAGGAGCTGAGCCGCCGCACTGTACACTGTGCCGTGAAAGGCACACCTTGATGACCTGCCGAGATTTCAAGGCCAAGACCGTCAACGAGCGTAAAGCATTTGTAGAGACGAACAAGCTCTGCTACAACTGCTTAGGAAACCACCTCTTATCTCGCTGTCAGTCGAAGAAGAACTGCCTTACGTGCGACGCACGACACCACACTACGTTGCACGGAGCGACCACGTCTTCACAGACAGCTGAGGTCACCACACGCGCCACTACACTGACCACGACTCTTCAAGATCGAGATCATAAGGCTGTTCTTCTTGCTACAGCTCGAATTAACATCGCCGATCGGTACGGCTCACCACACGCCGTACGCGCCTTGATCGATCAATGCTCCGAGGTGTCGATCATTTCTGAGGCCTTGGCGCAACGTCTCCGCCTGCCTCGAGTCTCGACGGATTTTTCTATCTTCGGAATCGGAGGGACCCGCTCAGGATCAGCTCGTGGCAAGGTCACGCTGCATGTCACGTCAGACGTGACCAACGCCGAGCTCCGCGTGGTGGCTTTTGTGCTGCCCCGCATATCATTGCAGCAAGGCTCAGTCTCGCGAGAAGAACGCAGCTGGCCTCATCTCGACGGACTTCAGCTGGCCGATCCTCGCTTCCTGGACGACGACCCAGCTGAGCTACTGCTGGGAGCCGAGGTCTACTCCTTGATCCTCGAGGAAGGCCTTCGCAAGGGTGACTCAAGGATGCCGATCGCCCAGCAGACCAGCCTGGGATGGATCCTGTCCGGCGGCTACGACGCAACAACAATCAACGGACATCGCCGCACTTTCCGGTGCACCGCCGATCACGACCTCGCCGAACTCGTTCAACGCTTTTGGGAGCAGGAGAGCGAGCCAATAACTCGGGCTCCACTTACTCCCGAGGAAGCTAAGTGCGAGGAATTATATGTGCGCACCGTCACACGCACGTCCACCGGGAGGTACATTGTGAGGCTGCCACTTTCATCACCGCCGACGAATCTTCACGAGACTCGCCGACCAGCGGAGCGCCTCCTGAGAGCCATGGAGACCAAAGGCAGCCGAGATCTTCGATTTGGCGACCTCTATCGCAACTTCATGTAGGAGTTCGAAGATCTACAACACATGAAGAGAGTCAACATTGCAACGACAGCGGATGATCTCAAGTGTTACTTACCGCATCACGGGGTCCTGAAGGAGTCGAGCACGACGACAAAACTCCGAGTCGTATTTAACGGCTCTCAACGCACACGGGCCGGTACTTCGTTGAACTCTCATCTGTTGACTGGGGCGAATCTTCTGCCAGCGCTCAACGACGTGTTGCTGCGATGGCGTTGGCACCGGTACGTCTTTGTCACCGACATAGAGAAAATGTACCGCCAAATCCTCGTACATCCTGAGGATTGCCGTCTTCATACAATCCTGTGGCGTCACAACAAGACGGACAAAATCCAAGAATACGAGCTGCTAACAGTGACCTACGGCATGGCTTGTGCACCGTTCCTGGCCATACGAACGCTGCGGCAACTCTGTGCAGACGAGGGGACGCAATTTCCTCAAGGGGCCACAGCACTTTGGCGAGACTGCTACGTCGACGACGTGGTCACCGGCGCAGACGACCTCGACGATGCCATCAACCTCCAGACGGAGCTACGCCACCTGTGCACGGCGGGCGGATTTCCACTGAGGAAGTGGGCCTCAAATAACTCCGAGGTCCTCGCTGGAGTCCCTCAAGAGCATCGGCTGCAGCAAGGACCGCATTCATGGGACGGAGAGAGCCATTCGACCTTGGGTTTGCGATGGCATCCTCAAGATGACTGGTTTGCCTTCGCAATACATTCACGTTCAGTCACAGACTTCACGAAGCGACGAGTCCTCGCCGAGACTGCACGGCTATTCGACCCGATGGGCTGGCTGGCGCCTGTCGTGATTCGGGCGAAGATCCTGATCCAGACCACATGGCTTCAGCAGCTGGACTGGGACGCTCCACTGCCTGTCAAGGATGTTCAACGTTGGCAACAGCTGCTGAACCAGCTACCTCTGCTCAGCAACATACGAGTTAATCGCTGGCTCAGCACCGACGACGATCACTCAAGGCTGCAGCTCCACGGCTTCGCTGACGCTTCCGAACGAGGATACGCCGCAGTGGTTTACCTCCGCAACTCTGAAAAGAGGAAAACATCAACTAATTTGCTCATGGCGAAATCCAAGGTCGCACCCGTCAAGCAAGTCTCACTGCCTCGCCTGGAGTTGTGCGCTGCTGATCTACTCACCACGCTCACGCTGCATGTCCGCAACACGCTCGGCTTGGCGTCTACTCCAGTGTACCTGTGGTCCGATTCCAAGGTCACCCTCCATTGGATCCAGGGACACGCCACCCGCTGGAAAACTTTCGTCGCCAACCGGGTAGCTCATATCCAGACACAGCTCCCGGACGCTCAGTGGAAGCACGTAGCCGGGAAAGACAATCCTGCAGATTGCGCATCAAGAGGAATTACTCCTGATGAATTAATCAACCACGCGTTATGGTGGACAGGACCTGCCTGGTTAGCACTGGACGAAACGGCGTGGCCCAACTCAGAGGTCGACATCTCAGAGCTGCCGACATCACACGACCTGCCAGAACAACGCACCACCAGCCTGATAACCAGGAGTTCCGTCATCATCGAACCGGACCTCCTGCTTTGGTTCTCCGCACTCCATCAGCTACTGCGCGTTACGGCTTGGTGTCGTCGGTGGCTCAATCTGGCAAGCCGGGAGGTCACATCTGGTCGCCCGCTGCATCCTGACGAGCTAGACGCCGCTCTACTTCAGTGGCTTCGAGTGGTGCAGGCGCTCCACTTCCCTGACGAGGTAGCTGCTGCCACCGCAGGACGGCCTGGTCCACCACGCAGTTCACTGGTCGAGCTGAACCCATTCCTCGACGACCAAGGTGTGCTTCGCGTCGGAGGACGCCTCAAGCACGCTCTGCTGCCCTACGACGAAAAGCACCCGGTGATCGTCCCGCCGGCCTCCTGGATGACGCGACTGCTAATCGAGTCCTGCCATCGTCGGTCTCTGCATGGCGGCGTCCAAATGACTCAGCTTACTTCGCCTTCGATTCTGGGTGCCACGTGGAAGGACCGTCGTCAAGCAGCAGTTGCATCGGTGCGTCACTTGCTTCGCTAGCGAGCTGCCACTCCACAACCTCCTATGGGCAATCTTCCTCGTGACCGAGTGACGCCGACTCGGTCATTCCTGAGTACTGGCCTGGACTACGCGGGACCCATTTCTATCCGGACCAGCAAGAAGCGCGGACACCGCTCACAGAAGGGATACATCGCAGTCTTCATATGTTTCTGGTCAAAGGCTATCCACCTCGAGGTTGTCTCGGATTACAGCTCCGAGGCCTTCATTGCCGCCTTACGCCGCTTCGTGTCGCGCAGAGGTCTATGCACGGACATCTACAGCGACTGTGGTACGACATTCATTGGCGCCGATCGCACGCTGCGTGAGCTCTTCAAGGCGTCGACCTCCGAGGGCCATCACATCGCCCGCGTCGCCAGCACTCAAGGGATCCGCTGGCACTTTAATCCGCCAGCGGCCCCTCACTTCGGTGGTCTTTGGGAGGCTGCCGTAAAATTCACGAAATTTCATCTCCGTCGAGTAATCGGCGAAACTACACTTACGTTTGAGGAGCTTAGTACACTCCTCACACAAATAGAGGCGTGTCTTAATTCTCGTCCGTTACAGGCTCTGTCAGACGATCCAGACGACACTTCGGCGCTCACACCAGGCCACTTCATCATCGGAGCACCGTTACTCGCGGTACCTGAGCCATCGCTGACGGGTCAATCAACCTCCACGCTGTCACGCTGGCGTCACCTGCAGCTGATGCGAGACCATTTTTGGCAGCGGTGGTCGGCTGAGTACGTGCACGGTCTCAACCCCCGCACCAAATGGTTCAAGGCCGAGTCCGTACCTTGCGACCGACCACTGGTCGCGATCCACTGGAGATTATCCCGGATGAAACTCCGGCAACTACCCCGAACATCAAGGACAAACCACAGAAGAACGAGGGAACACTCACGAGCGTTCCAGCGAGTCAGATGACAACTCACCTGATGGAAAGTCAAGGACCATCCCAGGAGCCCCAACGGAACGTTGAAGGTGCGATGGAACCAAGTTGAGCATCCCAGCGTGATGACGATGAGTCAAAAGAACTGTAAATATATATGTATATAATATAGCGATGTAAGTCTAGGTTAGGTTGTGACCGGACAAACCCTACATACCCCCGCTTTTTTATGGAAACGTTACGTATGCAAGGCTTACCCTGCCAGCAGGCTGCAGTGCTTTCGCCTTTGATCCGGTCGCCACGTTTTAACCTGTATAAGCACGAAGGTGTTGGTTGTAATCCTGGCTATTGGGTTCTCGCCGAAGAAGTCAATTCCCTTGAGTTGGCCCTTGCTTCGGTGTTCCTCCTTTCCGTTGTAGGCACCTTCCTTCTTTGTTTCAGGTACGCAAGGAATTTTGTAGGTAGGTAATCCACCGAATAATTATCACCAGTTAAGTATAACAAATTTAATTTAATTGTATTTCACTTTACAGGGTGCTTTATTAACAATCCCTCTCACGGACACTGATCCACTCAAGCGCCACGTTACAATGGTTATGCGCATCGTTATCTTGGCTGGCGTCGCCTCACCGTTTCCCGGAACGCAATTTATTTTAGAATTACCACTTAAAATTATAATCACGCTTCCGCACAATGGCTTCTGATTACACACGCGACTGACCCAAACGCTTTTGCTATTTATCGACCGATGTGGTTTTTCGGAAACGACAGCGTTATGACGAGTCTCATTTGGCCACCGAATATTTAAAGTCACGATGCCGCCTTTAGACGATTATAATATCACGACTGTCTCTAGCGCTTTTTTATTATCGGCCGACGTAGCCTCTCGGTACCCGACAGCGCATTAGAGCCTCGAGTCATTTCGCTGCCCGCTTTTATACTCTGTCACCCCACTCTGGGTGCTTCAGCCAATTGCGTTTCGGCCCTTCGCGCGCGCCAATCAGCTTTCGTTCTTTTACGGCCTTTCGTAACGGTCCGCGCCACGCAACCAGCGCGGTCTCTCGTTATGGTCCGCGCGCTGGAATTGCTAGGGTCTCTCTACATGGTCCGCGCCCTAGATATTGTTCTTTATTTTGCTCTTAGCACCAAATACAATTAAATACGTACTATATTATAACTTAACTTTAAATGAAAATTAACCGAAATCAAACGTAATTCGGACTTTGATTCTTTGAACTAAACTTATATAATTTTATACGTAACGGCCGAGTCATTTTGCTTTTATTAAACAAATATGATACCAATGTATTTATCAATCTCAACCATGACTTTCAGTCTTTAAGTACTTATCCAATTAAGTACTTATTTTACTTTGTTGTAAATAAATTTAGTTATAACCAAAATTAAAATAAATGTAATAATAACCAAAAATAAAATAAATTTAATATTATTCAAATTTGATTTAATTGAAACGACCTTAGCACATTGCGATCTTCGGCTGTTACGTCTTTGCTGCAATAACATAACTTACCGCCGGATCATTTCCGCTAGGCTTATTGCATATAGTCTTAATTTTTATTTGTAATTTTATCTATTTCTCTTACGCATTATTTGAATTAAACAATCACACTTAAACTTAAGAAGAGCGAGTATAATCTATGAGATCAAAATGACCTATATTAAACTTCGTTATTGCTCGCAACATGTGTAATTCAATTAACAAACTTACCCTAATTGTTATATTTTTCTTTTTTGTGTTTACCTAAATATTTTTAATTATTTTTATTGTGCAATCTTTGCCCTTTGTTTATTTTTATGTTTTTATTTATTTTTATCTTATCCTTGATATAATATTAGATTAACTTAAGTTGATATTGTAACTAAATTAAATGAACATTATTAATTGATTAATCATGAATCAAACTTAGTAATATAAAATAATATTTGTAATTCAATCAATAAAAATAACTGTGCAACCAAATTAATGTTCTCGTTTAATTCTTAAATAAACTAACTTGATCTTTTGTGTGTGAAATCAAAATAAGCTTTTATTTGTAATTTAATTATTTTAATGCTCTTACAATTAAGTTAATATTATTATTTAATTAGTAAATAAACTTATCTTTATATGCTTATGTGCAAACATAAAATCAAATACCATTTGTTATTTAATTGTTTGAGTTACTTTATAATTAATCTAATATAATAAATGAGATTATCTTTATAACTTATTACATGAACTAGTAACATGAATAATATTTGAAATTTAATGATATAAATTAACTTAAATATGTTTTCGCGTTTTTGCCTAATAATAAAATATTCTAAAATAACTAAATAAATTATTTAACTTAATTTGCTTGCGCTTTTTGTGTATCTTACGCAATCGTTGAGTCTTTTAACTTAATTCTAACCGCATTTCCGCGTAAACTAATAATTTTGGCAAATCGCGTTATCACCTTTGTTTCACTGCACGTGTAGGTGTCTTTTGGTGTCGGAACTGTATTCCGATTACCGTTTTTCGCTTATTTGATTGTTGCGGCTTCCTCTCGGTTGATCGCTTCCTGCTGCTGCTCACCGATGTCCCCGCTGGTCTGCTTTTTCTTTGACGTTGATGCGCCTGCTACCTCAGATAAAGGTCCGCTCATCGGAACTTCACCTGTCGGTTGCAAGGTTAAAGCCCCCCCCCCCGTGGACCACCACCTTGTCGTGGTGGGGGGGCTCACCCTTCGCAAGGGAATAGCCTTGCGAGAGGTGCTAAGAGTGGTCTGTACCTCCTATGGAGGTACACCTGGCCTGGTGGGGCCATAGGGCTTTGGCCCGCCACCCTTGGAAGGCCACCAAGTAAAAAAACCAAACCAAACAATATGGACGGACGACGATCAAAAAAGACCGTTACCGGCCCAGGGGAGTCGGATGCCCCAGGGCCCGGCGAGGAGGGGGGTATAGTCCCGGCCCCCACCCCGTCGTCATCACACGACGGGCAGATGACAGAGCCTGCAAAGGCTATGGAGGTTTCGTATGAATCTTCCGATTTATACGAGTCGGGGGATTCATGCGAAACGGAGGGCGAGGAAGAAGCAGGTGGCATGCTAATAACACGCATGTTGCACCGATGCAGTACGGACTGCTCTGAGATTCTCCGAAGAATCAAAATAGAGCAGGAAGATATGGAGGAGGAGGAACTAATCGAGGTGCTTAATGAGGACCTGACGGATTGGAAGACCCGGCTCACAAGAGTGAAAAGGTACATGGACCTCATAGAGCTGAGAGTGGAGAGAATGGAGCGGGACAAAGCGGCCCTGAAGGATGCATATATGCACCTGAAGGGCAACTCCACTCGGGTAGAGAGGAGGGATATCGGCTTGGACCCCTGGCTGCCGACCACCAGCACCAGGGGAACCAATACAGAGGTAGCGGGCCTTGTAAAAGACAAGGCGGAACATCCTCCCCCATGGGCGAAGGAGTTGCAGGAGGAGATGAAGGACCTGCGATGCGCCATGAAGGAGGAGATGGAGAGGAACTCTCAGTGGAGAAAATACCTCGCGGAGAAGACGGGGGAAAAACGCCCGCAAGCGGAAGGAGAGAAGGGGAGGAAGGACGCTGCGGACGGAAGAGGAGCGAGAGGGGTAAAGAGCACGGTGAGGGCAGCTCGGATCCCGGATGCTCCGAAGGTGGGGAAGAAGGGTCGGGGGGAGGAGAGTGATGAAGGAGGAGAGGCCTCTCCAACCCTCGACACCTTGTCACCGGGCTCGGAGATGGAGACCGAAGTCCGAGGGGAGGCGTGGTCCAGGGTCGTCGGTCGTCGCAGGCGAAAGGAGGAGGCGATTACAACAACGCCAAGGAAGCCTGCGACCGAGACAGACAAGAAGGACCGGACGGGAGAGAGGAGGGAGGTGCAGCCGAGGTGTTACCGGTGCCTATGCCCTGGATACATGTGGCGGCGGTGCACCTCGGCCGTGGACAGGAGTTCCCGTTGCTATCGCTGCGGGGCTCCTGGCCACATCGCACGGGCCTGCCGCGCCGGCCCGCGCTGTCCACTTTGTGTGGATCTGCGACGGCCGGCGGGGCATGTCCTGGGAGGACAGGGGTGCTGTAGGGCACCTCCGACGGGGTCGAGGGGCGGGGGCGTGTCTCCCCTTTCCCGGCCGTCGGCAGCCGTACCCCGAAGTGCGGCTGTTTGCGGCGGCGGGGATCGGGGGAGGGGCGCCCAAAAAATCCCGGCGTCGACGTTCGACGCCGGATGAGGGTGTCGGGGGGGGGGGGTGCGCGGGCATAGGCTCGCGTTCTGCCCCCCGGCAGCCTCTTGAGGGGGGGGCGGCCGTCCTTCCCGCGCTTAGGCGCTCGTCCTCCCAGAGGGGGAACCCCCCTGGTTGCGGTCGAATCCTAACTCCTACGGGAGCGGTGGGAGTCGCAACTGGGGGGCCGAGGGGGGGCCACGTGTCCCTGGCGGGCGGGCATTGCCCTCCCGCCTGGGGCGCCTAGGCCCCTCTCAAGGACGGAGACGTGACGCGTGGGGCCCTCTCACCGGGAGCCATAAGGCACCGGTGGGAGGGCAACACCGTCCACGGAAGGGGGCTTCTCTCCTTCTGAGAGGAACCCCCTGATGAGGGCTCCCTCAGTGAACCGCCGAACCGGATCACCCTCTTGAGGGTCTGGGGGTTACGACACTGGGGGGGCGAGGGGCGATGGCTCGAGCGGGAGTTCTCGAGCCATGGCTCCGCCCCTTAAACTCTTTGGGAGGGCGCGGCATGAGGTCGATGTCGCCTCGTGCCGCAACCGCGTCGACACCGCACAGTCATTGACTGTGCGGTCGGGGAGGTGTCTCGGCCGCAAGGTTGAGGCGGCTCCCCGGAGATTAATGGGCGGGGGGGGGGTGGTTTCCGAGACGGCATGGGTTACCAGCATCCTCGGCACCCCCATCCAACGCCCCGGGTAGGATATCCTCTGGGGTTTTAGTGCGGTAGGTCCTGTCCCGGCTCTCCGGCCCGCTACGGCGGACCGGCCAGGCGGGGCAGGGAGTCCCACATAACCCTCACCTCTACCCGGAGGTGAGTGGTACCATAAGGTTTCCCCAGAGTAACAAAAAAAAAGGTTAGGTTAAAGCGAAGG